CTTCTATTCGCTTGATAGGGGTGTTGTATCCCCAGCTCTGGGACTGAGGAAGCCGCTGTTGGGAACCGGGAGTGTTTCACGTGACAGTCTCTTGTCATCTGGGCAGTAATGGTTAACAAGGTGACCGAATTCCAGGAACAGTTTCACAGCAGCCAAACTATTCTTTAACACAGCTATATGAATGGGGGCATATCCCCCCAAACCCATATAATTGGCTCCATGTTGTAGAAGTAAAGTCAATATCCGTACACATTTTTCAGTAGTAGTAAACTGCGTATCTTCTGAAATAATAGAAGTAAAGAGAGTGTAATGAATATTGCAGACCGAAAGAAGGTGGTCAATTTATTCTTATATTCTAACAACTGATACCAATAGTCCGAATCAACTCCACCGTTCAAAAACAAAACTAAATTAAAGACCGCGTTTGTGACTCACGGGCGGAACCAACAATAAGAATTCCACATCGGGACGATTAGAAACACGACTAACAGTTAATTTCGACAAAATAAACCATTTTAATCGATTTTCTATCATTGTTTAGTTTTGATAGCAAAATAAACAGACAAATCATCTCTCCATTTTGGCATTTTGGTTAGCCACAGATCATTAATATTGCGTGAGTGGTATCATTTCCGGTAGATGAATTACAATAATATATATCAATGATCCTACAGCATTGTGTCTATTTGGCTTCTATTGTAAGGTTTGCCATTAAGCCAAGTCGTGTGTTTTCTACCCTATAACTTATATTTCTCCCAGGACACCGGTTTCCTACTATTCTCTCTATCCCCTAATTTCTCTCCCCCACCCTCTATTCCAATTTCCCTCTCTCTCTACTCTCACATCACCCTCCTCACCTTCCAGAATACCTGGTAAATTTTTCTTTAAAGCCTCTTATCGTCGTTTGAGGGTTTCCAATCTCATACAAACTACACTGAAAAAACAACCTTGTATACACAAGTTATGTGTCTTTATTTAACAAGACAAACTTGTATTTATTTTTGAAACAACACAAAACTTGATCTTGTGTGAAAATCTACACATCACTGGTATAAAAATTTCTGAAACTTGTGTTAAAATTTCTGAAACTTGTGTTAAAATTTCGGAAACTTGTGTTGTTTCATACAAACTTGTGTATAACCACCAACAAAAGCCTAGGTTGTATTTTACCAATTGCCAGGCATTTGTAGTGATGGAGTATCCCTGACAAGAGTTATCCAATTTTCAGACCACAGCTAGGCTTGATTAGCTTAAATCTGAACCAACTAAAACAGCTTTGGAGTTGTTCAGTACCACCACAGGAATCATGAATGACCACTAACAGTCACATCCCAAAATGCCACGTCCCCAACTAGGCTCGATTAACGGACACTGTTCCCGTGTTCTACAATATTAAATATATTGCCGAGATGCGTAACTAGCACGTACGGAAGAGGCGATAAACTGTGGTTACAAGAAATAAATTTTTGGGCAAAAATCTGTTCCGGACAACGTATAATACAGCTTGGGACACCCGTCTCCATTTCCAGATGAAGATTGACGGGTTGTTCGGCCCTAGAGTAGAGGATTTTAAGGGCTTTTAATAATTTGTTTTTATCACTTAATAATTTGTTTTTATAACTTAATTTTATAATCATTCTTTTTTCTTTTTTTTGCACTACCTTATTTTATAATAAATTTGTTGCTTTAAATATTGTCTCATTCTATACTGTGTTATTATCAACTAATTTTATAATTTGGTTATGAATTCTACCAATGTTATAACATGTTATTAAGACTTTGAGAGGGTATAGGGTCGCCTGCCTAACCCCGTGGATCTTTTCTTGACGACTGCAAAAGATCCATTTAATTACAGAAGCATCCTGTGTTCATCTCAGAATGGTTTGGTGTGGGTTAAGTGGGCGTTAATAACCATATACAAAGCCATGTAGGATAAGTACACATATATTAGATCTAGAATATCGACGAATATAGTATAAACTGAATTGAGACCAGTAATTTCACCAAGTATATTGGTATAATAGCGTTCTTGTTATTGGCGGGGTCTGAGCACTTCCAGAAATGGGTTATTTTTGCCTGAGAATAGTGAATTTCCACATGCTCTGTTGGTCAAGCCTTGAACAATCTGTATGTGTTATATATTCATTACACTTCTCTTTTTTGTTGTTATGTGATTTTATTAAGTGTGTAATCCCCATAAATATGATTTAAAAAACAAACATGCTGTCTGTTCCTTCCTGCCTTTATATTAAATATCTATAGCATAAGATGTTGAACTAACTTAGTTATATAGTGAGAGATGTACTGTCAACATGGCTACTAATTTACTAGTATATTTACTTATTTATTCCTATGTATACAATGTCAATAATGGTAAGTATAACATCATTATTAATTTTAAGGAGGATTCAATACAAATAATAATATAGCCCATATAGGACATAGTTTGTTTTCTGATTGGTCGAAGCGTGGTGTAGAATATTACTTTGTTGCCTGGCAAGGCACGGCGTTTAGTCGTTCGGATGGACCGAAAACCGAGATCTTAATATGAACTTGTCGGCGTGTACATAAAAAAAAGTGTCCTTGATAATAGTTATTCGAAATGAGATGGGCACTGTCCGAGCCAAATTCCCCTCATGGCACATTGCATGGCATATATTTGTCTTCACTATCCTTATTGGTGAAGAAAATAAGGACTTTAAACCAAATTTAATTTCAATACTCTGTTGTTTTTCACTTAATATTAAATGCTTTCAAACATTAAAGATTTAAGCGTTATGATACTGGGCTATATTGAGCCAAACATAAGGTAAAATATTTATATGCATAAATAAAAACAAATATCACAGTTTTTGTCAAAATAAAAAATATAAAAATGAAAAGGATATATATATATATATATACAATTAACATTTATAATGAAAATCCATTAAACCCGTTTGAGCAAATGAATGATGTAACGACTGGCAAAGGTAATGATTTAATCTAACAAATCCTTGAGATACTTGCACTAAAACAAGATGTGCCTTTAAGTTGTCAAAGAAACATGTCAGGCGAGTTAAAAAGGGTTTTTTCAAAAAAAAGTATGACCAACACGAAAGCGACACACTCCATCGTTCCTGTTGGTTTTATAGGAGACCTGCCGATCTCCAAGACGAGGTTTTAATGTGATGATGTTCGTTTGTGTCTGCAAGACCCTAAAATGAAATCATTAATGTCTTAAAGGGATATTATGGAAGACTAAATAAAGAGCTTGCAGTTCTCATCATAATAGTTAAAAACTAGATAATGTAATGGGAATAAGCTGAAAATTTCAGTTAAATTGCTACACTTTTAACCGAATATTAGCGTTTGAATTTGAGGCCTAGATGAAGAGCTGGCAGTTCTCGTTATAATAGTTAAAGACTAGATAAAGTAAAATTGCAGTTAAATTGCTCAACTCTGAACCGAGATATTAGCGTTTGATTTTCAGGCCTAGCTTCGAACATCATTACTAAAGTCGGTACGCTATCCATTATCAATTTTTGGATTAAATCATCAATGAACGTTCAGCAGAAAATCGGATTCAAATCCAGTGACAATCCGACATATAAAATCGCATCGAGAGTTGATTAATGACTTTTTATATTAATAAATGTCTAATTAATAGTTTATAACATTTCAGGCCCAAAGAAGGATCTGCAATAGGCAGATTTAGCTATTGCATAATGCATGTTTAAAATATGTAAAAGGATTATTGTGATAGTCGATCCCCTGAACAGCATCGGTGTCATGATTATAGCCTCTCCAAGTGTCTATTAATAATGTTCGATGTCATATAGGGTATACTGTTAACTAAAATAACTCGGTCAACATTCTTTTGATCCTCGGTTTGTTTTATTTTTTCAATTGATATCATATAGTATATCAAATATAATTACGTCACATAAGAATTAATATGATATAAAGCTTTCATCGTATGTATGGGCTAAAAGTCATTTTTTAAAAAATAAGTTCGGAATGATTATTTCGGAAAACTGTCGATGTACCCAAAATGGTTTAATGAAGCTAAAGCTTAATACAGAGTATTGATTTGGGTTAATTTGGTGTCATTTCGCTTAGTGATGCGACGAGCTTTCTAACATTAAATTTTGGTTTCGAAAGATAAAGCGGAAGTCGTCTTTTTACTTATTTTATATTCATTTTTAGTTTACCATATAGTTTAAACGAAGACAAATAGACAGAAAGATTAAGTTTCGAACAATTTTAACGTATATTTATCTATAATAGTACGTAAAATGCATCATTTTCCACAGTTAACTGGTTATATAGACAACCTGCCAATGTCTATTGTTCTAACAGACTTGAATTCAGATTCATGAGCTATTTGCTCAACACAAACAGATTAGAAATAACTTGTTGCAACAGCTTGGCAAACTTTTATTAAATACAACAGACATTAAAAAAGTAAGCACGAAGAGTGGCTATGGTAACTTTTTTAGAACATTTACCTTTGACAAATTTTCACTCCGCGTGTGGTTCAATTTCACTTTAGATTTCAATTCATAATCGATAGAGACCTGGCTACTACACTATTGGATATTGATATTGTTATTAGTTCCATTTGTTATTTATTCTATGGGATATTTATATTTTTTGGTTACCTCTCGGGGTTTATTATTCCATTGTTTGTATTTCAGCTAAATGTACATCGCGTAGCTAATATAGACAACCTGTCAATGTCTATAGTTCTAACAGACTTGAATTCACATTCCTGAGCTATTTACCCAACACACACAGATTAGAAATAACTTGTTGTAACAGCTTAGCAAACTTTTATTAAATACGACATACATTATAAAGTAAACACGAAGGGTGGCTAAGTTAACTATTTTAGAATATTTTACTTTGACAAATTTTCACGAACCTCAACAAAAAAAAAATAATACTGAATGAACTACGGACAGTTTTCATCAAGTTCCAAAATTGGATATTATACAGGTGGTGAATTCCTGGTGTGATTCAATTTCACTTTAAATTTCAATTCATAATCAACAGAGCAGAGACCTGGCTAGTACACTATTGGATATTGATATTGTAATAAGTTACATTTATTATTTATTCTATGGAATATTTATATTTTTTGGTTACCTCTCAGGGTTTATTGCTCCATTGTTTGTATTTCAGCTAAATGTACATCGCGTAACTGTGGTGGGAGACCATGTGATCCTGATACTGGAATCTGTGAACCATGTCCACATCGCTATTACAACGACGGGGGAATCTGTAAACCATGCCCAGATGAACATTATATTAATTATATGGGAATCTGTAAACCATGTAATGTAAATTGCAAGGAGAGTAAGTGCAATATTAATGGTACATGTAGATATGGGTGTATTCCTGGATTGTATGGTACGTATTGTCAGAAGTTGTGTAGTTCAAACTGTAAATCCAACCTGTGTGATAACAAGGGTATATGTGATCATTGTAAAGATGGCTTCTATGGTGATATATGTGAACGTATCTGTCCTAATTGTAAGCCCGGTGGTTGTAATAGGGAAAATGGTGTATGTAAAAATGGTTGTAAAGATGGATTCTATGGACGCGATGGAACATGTATGAAAAGGTGTGAGAATTGTAACCCTGGTGGATGTCAAATGAATAATGGGACTTGCTTTAATGGGTGTAAGGATGGTATTGTTGATGCAAGATATGGGAATAAGTGCTCTACATGTGACGATGGCGGTTGTAAACATGATGGCTTTTGTATTAATGGATGTAAAGAAGGTTTTTATGGTAGTGACGGATTGTGCTTGAGGGTATGTCCTAACTGTCAACCAGGTGGGTGTAGTAAGGATGATGGTGTTTGTAATGTTGGATGTAATGAAGGTTGGTATACAGATACATGTGATAGTATGTGCAGTAGTTATTGCAAGAGCGGGTGTAATAAAACAGATGGATACTGTAATGCATGTTCTTTCGAAAAATATTATGGAATGTTCTGTAATATCGCTTGTAGTTGTACATGTAGAGGAGGATGTGATAGAGATGGCATATGTTATAATTGTACTGAGGGATATTATGGTGATAATTGTAAGTTGGTCTGTAGTTCTACATGTAGAGGAGGATGTGATAGAGATGGCATATGTTATAATTGTATTGAGGGATATTATGGTGATAATTGTAAGTTGGTCTGTAGTTCTACATGTAGAGGAGGATGTGATAGAGATGGCATATGTTATGATTGTACTGAGGGATATTATGGTGATAATTGTAAGTTGGTCTGTAGTTCTACATGTAGAGGAGGATGTGATAGAGATGGCATATGTTATGATTGTACTGAGGGATATTATGGTGATAATTGTAAGTTGGTCTGTAGTTCTACATGTAGAGGAGGATGTGATAGAGATGGCATATGTTATGATTGTACTGAGGGATATTATGGTGACGTCTGTAATACCACATGTAGCGCCACATGTTCAGAAGGTTGTAGGTCATCGGACGGTTTTTGTGGCGATTGTAAGAATATGTACCATAACGTATGTAATTTTACATGCAGTGTGAATTGTAAAGAAGGTTGTTATAGAGATGCCAAATGTATGGACTGCTTTAAAGGTTTCTATGGTGATAGGTGTGGCAAAAGGTGTAGTAATTGTAGACATTATAGTTGCAACATGACCAGTGGCTGCATTGAAGGATGTACAGCAGGTAAAACTGGACAGCATTGTGATAAGAGTTGTTTTTCGAGTTGCATTTCTTGTAAACGCTACAATAAATCAAGCTGCGTATCTTGTAAACGAGGATGGTTTGGATCAGTTTGTAATAAGACGTGTCCAACAAGATGCTTGTATAGTTTTTGTAATATGGATGGTACCTGCGGTGCCTGTAAAGCAGGATATTATGGAAAGAGTTGTGACAAGATGTGTAGCAGCAACTGTAGATCTACCATAGGTTCACCTGTATGTAATTACACCCATGGTTCATGTACTAATGGCTGTGTACATGGTAAAAGGGGAAACAACTGTTCTGAAGGTAAAACAAAACAACGCGTAAGACTAATAGTTAAATGGAATAGGCAGTAAATTTTTAAAAAAAACTAGCTATAGTTAGATATTTAAAGGAACAATGGTGACACAAAGAACACCAACTATTACTATTAAACAGTACACAAATAAAACTAATACAGGATTTTTTAAAACTTTACAATAGTCAAAATACTGTTAAGTCAGGTTTTCTTCAGTGCTCAGCCCACCTGGTTTAAACTACTTTCTTGTATATGTTTTACCCGATAGGTTGTTTAAGTGTAACATTGTTATTGTAGAGTGTTCAGATAGATCATATGGTTAGGTTAAACTGTAAGATTGTTATTGTAGATTGTCCTGAAGGGTGGTATGGTTTAAACTGTTACAATAAATGTGGTTATTGTAAAGGAGGGAAAGGATGTAATGTATCATCAGGAGAATGCGGCTTACAGGGCTGTCAGGAACAATATACAGGGCCTACTTGTCAAGAGTGTAAGTAGTTTTAATTAATTAACTGTGTTGTATTGTCAAATAAAATTCCTTGATTGGTATTGGTTGACATTTGCACTGCATAATTAGGTAGGTACGACTTTAAAATAACCATATGTTTATAACTATAATGATGACATCTCATCTATAAGAACTAAATCTTATTTCAGTAAAATCTACTACAGTCAATACAACCCTAATTTTTGCAGTTGTGTTTACTGTGATAATACTATTGATGATTGGTCTCTATTTTTGGAGGTAAGTATAGACTTTATCACATATATTAGGTAGATCATGGTATGTCACCTTCATGATCGGAGTAACCATGTTTTAATTCAATATTTGACTCCTCGAGAGAAACATGGAAAACGGAACGTGAAAATCGAATCAAAGCATCTAGGGGTAAATATAGTCGTCTATCAGTGAAAAAATGAAGGTAAATGGAGGTGATCTGTAGAATTTAACAGGATATTTGTATAGATTATTTGCAGATTTTTGTGACAATGATTTACTTAGGGATAATTTAGCTTTGTTATATATATAGTCAGTAATACTGTATTTAATGTTGTAATAATATTCAAATGTCATTAGCTTCATATCGAATGTATATAAAATGTTGATTAACAGGTTCTTCAAAATAAAGGGCAACATTTCCGGGTCAACTTTTAATCAAGCGGCTGTTGAATACCGCAATACTGACAACGATTATGATACATTATCACCGCTGGTGGTTGACGATACTGTGGAGTTCCAGTCTCCTGCATCAAGATCACCAGCAACTGCTAATCAGGTACCTAATATCAATACGAGTAATGAACATTCACCACTCAACCAGAGATCCAGTGATACTACTAGCCATTATCTGACATTACCATCACCGGTAAACAACGATAACCAGGCCTCCGGAGCCGACTACCTTTCGTTAGTGAATACCAATAATGACTATTTGCCACTCAATACCAAGAGTAGAGATACAAATACTAATTATCTGACATTACCAGCATCGATAAATGATGAGGATCGGATATCTGGAGCCTACTACCTAAACAATGTACAATGCAGTAATGTACAAAACACTATTACTAACCAATATCCACACCGGGTAGGCGGCGATGATGATGTGTCCAGATTCAGTTACCTTACTGACAGCAGCCAAGAATTTAAATTATCACCACCTGTAGATAACAATGAAGATGTATCTAGTGATAATTACATTACACCGATACATGTAAATTACCACTCTGCACCACACGACATTAAAACAGTAACTAATATTTACCATTCATCGTTACAGAATACCGGTTATACTACTACGATAACTGATATTTACCCATCCCCATCACAGGATACCAGTTATGCCACGACAATAACTGATATTTACCCATCCCCTTCACAGGATACCAGTTTTGCCACTTCAATAAATGATATTTACCCATCCCCATCACAGGATACAAGTTATGCTACTGGAATAAATGACAGTGACCAATCGGTAGCACCTGATACTAGTTATGCTAGTACAATGAATGCCAATCACCATTTGCCAGCACTAGATTCCAATTTTGCCAGTACTATAAATGGCATTGGCCAATCCACAGCACCAGATTCCAATTTTACTGGTACAATAAATGAAATTGACCAATCATCTTCACAAAATACCAGCTTTACTAATACAATAAATGAAATTTATCTGCCGCAAACCTCTGGTTCTGATAATATTATTTCCACTAATGAAAATAACAACTCGGATACAGACAGATCGTACGACACTATATCACTTAGCTATCAATAGAGCAGTTACAATATAACACCATTGGGGGTGCGGGGGGGCAGGGCAGGGTTTTGTACCATCGGGGTAGCAACAGGTGCCCAACTTATAGTAGTGACTGAATTGATTTTTGTGGAAGAAGGTTACAACCTTTTTGTATGAGTTTTTTTTTCGCTCGGACTAGTATCTGGTTTGCAAACGTTATTATTTGGAAGAATGTAGTATTATCGTCTCTCGATCTACCATGGTGCTTGTAGGCTTTTTATTGTTATATATGCTGGTTGGTTATATTATTATTCTATCTAAATGTATTACTATGTTATTGTATTCCATCTATGTATCTTGCATAGATGTCATATTTGTTCGTCGGATATGTTATTATTACAGCTACATGTAGATATAATATTACTTTATTATTATTTGTGTATGTTTTGTGTATAGTGTATATTATCTCATATTATTATACGCCCACATTTTCATGTGTACTGTTATTGTTGTCGAACCTGTCGTTCACATTTTGTTTGTGAACACTCTACAGGTCACAATTTTGACAAAACTTGAAATATAGGTTTATATCCCAAAGATCTCGGTTCCTTTTGATATCTCCATGTAATTTCTTGGCCCCCTGATTGTACTAAAAATCGTGTTTTTAGCTTGTGGGCACTATAGAGGTCACAATGTATCCGATTTTGATGATACCTAAAATGTTTATAACCCAAAGATCTCGGTTCTTTTAGTTACTGGCGCATATCGAACTGTAACTTTCTGAATTATGGCCCGTGATTGCAGAATATTTTTATCTGATTTTAATACATCATGTATGATTATAACCCAAAGATCTCGGTTATTTTAGATATTAGCGCTAATCGAACCGTGACAGCCTTGATTATGGACGAAAAATAGCTTTTTTAGCTTGTTCTCTGTCCATCTCTTGCAAAATGTGGGCGTATCTTGCCTGGCGACCGCTTATTGTCTAGCTGTATTACTATCTTATCATTTTTAGTTGTTGACTGGTTATATTATTCTTTTATGTAAATGTGTAACTATCTTATTCTGTGTAGTTATATTGAAGATATTTTTTTTATACTCACTAACTTTGTATATATCATATTTGTGTTCCTTTACACGGAATACATTTGTGTTACCTGCCCTTTAATTGTCACCCCACCATCACTTGTCAATCAAATGTATAATTGTTTCAAATATTTACACATATTGTAATTTGCTTATGGTTCTAATTTTATAATTTGTTTTATTTGTTGCCACATTTTTAAATTACTTCATTTTATAATTCGATCGTTTAAATATTAACATTTCTTGTCACTTATTTTTGCAATTTGTTACTTAGGATATTAGTAGTTTTAAAATTTATTAGCAGCTTTATAATTATAGTATTTGCTTTAATTATTACCACATGTTTTAAAAACTACTGCATATTTTTTAAATTTGTTATTTCAGATATTACCACTTTGTGTAATTTGCTGCCCTCATTTTAAAATTTAAATATTATCCAATATTGTAATTCTCTGTCATCACTCAATTTTATAATTTAATATAATCAGTAAATTTTATAATTTGTTGCATTTCATAATTAATTACATTTCATAATTTGTTGCATTTTATAATTAATTACATTTCATAATTTGTTGCATTTTATAATTTTTTGTTGCATTTTATAATTTGTTGCATTTCATAATTTGTTGCATTTCATAATATTACCACATGATTTAAAAACTACTGCATATTTTGTAATTTGTTATTTCAAATATTATCACATTGTGTAATTCGCTGCCCTCATTATTTAAAAATATTATCCAATATTGTAATTTTCTGTCATCACTCAATTTTATAATTTAATATAATCAGTACATTTTATAATTTCTTGCATTTCATAATTAATTACATTTCATAATTTGTTGCATTTTTTAATTTTTTGTTGCATTTTTTAATTTGTTGCATTTCATAATTTGTTGCATTTCATAATTTGGTTTTTATCACATAATAATTTGTTTTATCAGTTAATAATTGTTTTACCACTTAATTTTATATCTTTATTTTATCAATAAATTGTATGATCTGTTGCTTCAAACGTTATCGGGAGCCGCGGTGACTCATCGAGTAAGACGTTGGCTAACTAATCTGGAGATCCCGTGTTCAAACTTCGATCCCTGCGTTGACCGAGAAAGTTCATTGTGATTTTACGGCGAAGTTTCCCCTTGCTGGCAAAGACAACGTATAGTCGTTCTGATGTGCATATTGGCGTGCGCGTAAAACACCCCTGACCGGAAAAGATTTCCCTCATAGCACAATGTATGCTAGTCTTTATTAGTCCAGTCGGCGCAGAAAAGTAGGACGCTAAACCCAATTTCATTTAAATTTGTTGTATTTCCTAATTTGTTTTTTTATCAATTAATAATTTTTTTATCACTTAATAATTTGGGTTTTTTCTATCACTTAACTATTTATTTTTATCATTTTATTTTATAATTTGTTTTTATCAATAAATTTTATAATTTGTTTTTATCAATAAATTTTATAAAATGTTACTATAATTAGTTATTGTCATTCAGTCTTATAATTTCATCCTTTACATCCTAGCGCATGTTAAAACAGGTTATGGTGACTTTCAGGGGGATCAGGGTGGCCTGTGTTAATTGCAACTTTAAGTCGACGTCAATACCCATTTCTCTCTCTCCTATTATCACTCATTGTTTTTATTTGTTACGCTTGTTTTCTTTTTTGACCCCTTACCCCCCCCCCCCCCTGTAAACATTCTACTGGTGTATCACCTATGATCATTGTTAATTATCTTGCAGATATCTTTCTTGAAAAAATTTAAACAAAGTGGCGAGTGTAAAGCACGAGTTAGAGTATGCTTACATATTTCCAAACACCTAACACTACTTTGGCATGGGAACTAATTTGACTAATGCATTTCATTGTCCAATAATAATAAGCTGCTATTACAGCATTATTATTATTATAATATGACCTGAACGAGAGCATATCAATCCACCGCTCATAAACCGATCATATGTCTAAATATCTTTATACCAAAAACATTACTTGACTTTAGTGTGACCTGTTTATGCTAGGGAAACTGATATGACGTCTAAAGAAACTGACATGACATACCAAAGACGCTAACATGACCCGTGAAAGAATGGGCGGTAGTACGTTGCTGAAATCTTTTACCTCAAGATTCTTATATACGTTGTCAATTAGGAGTTCTAACATTATTGTGATGTGATATACTGCAGTATTCTTTATTGTACCATTGTGGTTCTCAACAAAGTATGAAGAGCTGTATGTATGTATTACGAGTATGTATTTGTATCGATGGGCAATGTACTTAATTCTATTTAAATCGAAAACGTTCGCTGTGGTGATATGGTATATATTTTTGTAGCTTGTTTAATAGCATGCTATTGACCAGTTCGTGTGTGTTTAGCTTTCCATGGTCACTTTTATACAGTGTTTGATGCAAGGCGTTGCCACATTTTGCCTCATGTTGGGCACAATAAAAGTTAGTGAAAGTCAAAATTTAGTGCCGAGGAAAGAGTAGAGAATGAAGATTTAATTGGTCAGGATAACAGCTTCTACTGTTCCATAAGTAGTACCAAAACTTTAGTCCAGGATATTGGCTATTAAACCATTCTTTGAAACAAAGAGACTTGTTCGTGGGGTTTTACGTCATATCGCAGACAAAGAAAGACATGTAGGACAAGTATACGTACCATCTAGAATATTTGACCAATGTAGAATAAACTGAATTGAGACCAGTAATTTCGCCAAGTATCTTTTGGATGAATGTACAATTCATGATCGTGTCGATAAATATTGGAGAGAGAGAGAAATGGGGTTTAACGTCCACCCGACACAAACTAGGTCATTTCGGGACTAACATATGGTTTAATTTTAGCAGTGGGAGGAAACCGAAGGACCCAGAGAAAACCCACGAGGTTGAACAGGCGACCCTTCTCCTTGTCACGTACAACCGGGGATTCGAAACCACGCCAATTGACTTAATGACAGGCTTTATGACACAGCGCGCGCGTGCTAACCATTCGACCATCCACCCGTGTTCATTATACAATCTGCATGATTTTATTAAGTGTTTAATCCCCATAAATATGATTTAAAAAACAAACAAGCGTTAAGTTCCTTCCTGCCTTTATATTAAATATCTATAGCATAAGATGTTGAACTAACTTAGTTATATAGTGAGAGATGTACTGTCAACATGGCTACTAATTTACTAGTATATTTACTAATTTATTCCTCTGTATACGATGTCAATAATGGTAAGTTTAACGGCATTATTAATTTTAAGGGGGCTTCAATACAAATAATAATATAGCCCATACAGGACATTGTTTTCTGATTGGACGAAGCATGGTGTAGAATTTTCTATGAAAGACTAATCATTATGTATTACTTTGTTGTCTGGCAAGGCACCGGGTCTAGTCGTTCGTATGGCCGAAAACCGAAATACTATGTACTTATTGACGTGGACATAAAAGTACCCTTGATAATTGTTATTCGAAATGAGATGGGCGCTGTCCGAGCAAAATTTCGTTCATGGCACATCGCATGGCATATATTTGTCTTCGCTATCCCTTTTGGTGAAGAAAATAATTTAATTTCAACACTCTGTTGTTTTTCATTTTGTAACATTAAATGCTCTCAAACATTAAAGATTTAAGCGTTATGACACTGGGATATAGTGAGCCAAACATATTCGCTTGAAGATGAAAACGAGTTTTTAAAAAACAAAAAAAAGTATGACCAACACGAGAGCGACACAAACAACGTCATCGGTCCTGCTGGTTTTGTAGGAGATCTGCCAATCTCCATACGAGGCTTTTAATGTGATGGAAGACCCTAAAAATGAAATGATGAATGACTTAAAGGGACATTATGGAAGATTAAATAAAGAGCTGACAGTTCTCATTATAATAGTTAAAAACTAGATAATGTGTATAAAGGGAATAAGCTGAAAATTTCAGTTAAATTGTTACACTCTGAAATTAGC